TGGCGTTTACCTAACACAAAATGTATCAGATAATCTTTCAAGGTAAACTTCATTGTATTACATGCCCAATTTTTTTCATTCCTGGAGTCTAAATAATCTTATTGCACCCACTATGCAGCAATGCCTTCATGCTTCTTGCTTCAGCATTCCCACCGCAAAATAAGCAAGAAATGACTACCCCGCAAGGACAACCTTTTATGATAGGAGAGGGAATGCGAGATTCATTTGAAAGAGAAGTTTGTGCCAATCAGAATGATCCTGGGTTTGCTGGCTCTTCTCGAAGTGCAATGTCCATATGTAGGTCAAGTTTAGATGAATTATCTTTTGTAGATGATATACATACATCAGAAAATTTGCCTACATCATATAGCCACTTACCTCATGTGGGGGACTGCATGAATGAGAGATTGGATGGAACTCGAGAGGAAAAAAACATAGCTGAGGATACTTGTGGAAGTCAGGTTACAGTCACTTCTTGCAGCTCAGAAGTGATAATCTCCGCTAACAGTGGTGACTGCATAAATGAGAGATTGGATGGAATTCGAGAGGAAAAAATTAGAGCTGAGGATACTTGTGGAAGTCAGGTTACAGTCGCTTCATGCAGCTCAGAAGTGATAATCTCCACTAAGTGTGGTGACTGTATAAATGAGAGATTGGATGGAATTCGAGAGGAAAAAATTAGAGCTGAGGATACTTGTGGAAGTCAGGTTACAGTCGCTTCATGCAGCTCAGAAGTGATAATCTCCGCTAACAGTGGTGACTGCATAAATGAGAGATTGGATGGAATTCGAGAGGAAAAAAATAGATCTAAGGATACTTGTGGAAGTCAGGTTACAGCCACTTCTTGCAGTTCAGAAGTGATAATCTCTGCTAACAGTGGTGACTGCATTAATGAGAGATTGGATGGAACTCGAGAGGATGCTTGTGGAAGTCAGGTTACAGTCACTTCATGCAGCTCAGAAGTGATAATCTCCGCTAACAGTGGTGACTACATAAATGAGAGATCGGATGGAACTCGAGAAGAGAAAATTATAGCTGAGCATACTTGTGGAAGTCAGGTTACAGCCATTTCTTGCAGTTCAGAAGTGATAATCTCCGCTAAGAGTGGTGATTTAGGAAATGAAGCGGTCAATTTGCCCAAGACAATATCGAGAAAGAAAGATGAATTCCCAAAAAAAGAAATTGATTGGGATGAATTGAGGAAGACCTATTCTACTGGTAGATCCGGTGTTCTTACCGAAAGAAATAGGGATTCTGTCAATTGGGAAGCCGTTAGACATGCAGATGTTGAAAAGATTTTTGAGCCAATCAAAGGTCGAGGACAGGGTAATGTTCTTGCTGCAAAGATCAAGGTACACTGTAGTGGTTTCAGTTCTCTCATTTTATTTATAATCTATGTGTACCACACTTAGAGTAGCTCATAGTTGATTGATTGATCTGCTTACATTGGTGTTCTTTTAATCAATCGGTTGGTGATTTAATCTTTTCAGAATTTTCTTAATCGATTGGTTAAAGATCATGGAAGCATTGACCTTGAGTGGTTAAGAGATGTCCCACGAGATAAAGTGAAGTAAGAACGTAAATTATTTACTCAAAATTATGGTCATTGTGATATTTAAAGTTAAGATGTTGTCGAGCATTGTTTTATTACTCTGCTTCTGTTCAGAGAATACTTGTTGAGCATAGATGGGATTGGACCGAAGAGTGTGGATTGTGTTCGACTTTTGACACTTCGGAATCTTGCTTTTCCTGTAAGTTTTCAGCAGGGAGTTTTTGTCCACTTTTTTTGGCCTTAGGAATCTCAACATTCTGTGTTTTTCTTATTTTCTCATTTTTTGCTCACAAGGTTGACATAAATGTTGCTCGAATAGCAGTACGTCTAGGATGGGTCCCTTTGCAACCATTACCTGATGGCATCCAGATGCATCTTCTGGAGAGGTTTTAATTGAATAAATTCTATTTAGTGTTGCTAAGGTTGAGCTAGTGTATATTAAGTGTTGATTTTCGTTCCAATTAGGTACCCCCTGGAGAGTGACATACAAAAGTACCTTTGGCCACGTCTTTGCAACCTTGATCTGCTAACACTGTAATGAATTTCCACTTTCTTTAGTGTTTTCGTGTTAATGGATTTGCTTGTTACCTTTAATTCTAAGTAACCGAAAATTTGTTCCGGAAAATCTTATGCTCATTAAGTTTGGTACGTGTGGCAGATATGAACTGCATTATCACATGATCACATTTGGAAAGGTCAGATTTACACTCAACCGTCAATGAGAGCAGAGTTTGATTAGCTATATTATTTCTTCAGAGAGCACTAACAGGGGGAGTTTTCTTCAATATCACACAGGTTTTCTGTACGAAGAGAAGTCCAAACTGTAATGCCTGCCCAATGAGAGCCGACTGCAGACACTTTGCAAGTGCATTTGCAAGGTTCGCATCGGATTACTACCCAACTATAAAATAAACAATTTTTTTTTGATGCAATTGATATCTAGGCCTGTTTAGTATACGAAAATATCTGAAGTATTAACAATTCCCATAGGTAAAGAAAATAGAAGGAGACAAGATAGGAAAAGAAGAGAAGAAAATTTGGTAAAGAAGTATCACTAGTTGGTTACTTCCTGTTTGGTGTTGGTAGAAAAACCTATATACCTGAATAACCTCAGGTGCAACAAAATGATTCTCCAAACAATGAATACTTCATATTCCAGGAAACCTTGTCAAATTCATCCTCGTGCATCAGAATATTTATAAATTTGCACTATGCAGTTCTAGGCTTCGCCTCCCAGGACCACAGCAGAAAGGAGTGGTCACCGTTAAGCAGCCTGTTAGAGTTGATGAAGTCCCAAACATGTGTCTGCCGTCACCAGCTTTGTCCCTTTCTAGCAGAAGCTTCTTGGAGTCCGGGTTCCAGAATCAAGATTGTGAGCCTATCATAGAAATGCCAGCATCTCCGGAGCACAAACCTCTAGAATCACTGGAACGAGACATTGAAGACTTTCCTTATGAGGTGGAGCATGAGCAGGAGATACCTACCATCCGACTCAACACTGAAGAGTTTCGAGAAAATGTCTTGAACTTTATCAACAAGTCCAACACTAAAGAGTTTCAAGAAAGTGTGTTGAACATTGTTGATGAGATCAGTACATTGAATCGAGATGAAGAAGTGTCAAAAGCCTTGGTTCTTTTGAATCCAGTGTCTGCTTCACATCCTGCTCGTAAACTGAAGTATGAGAGTCGACTAAGGACTGAGCACTTAGTGTAAGTAATAATTCCATCTTTTTGCGTATAGCAAATATTTCAAGTTACAGAACCATATGCTTATAACATGAGCAAATAGTATGTTAAATTGAACACATGCAGTTGTTATTTGAACACATGCAATTGTTATTTGCTTAAGCTTTTGGCATACAACATTTTGCTGATTATAACTATGACAGGGTTTGATGTTTTTGACATCAAAATTTTNTGCGTATAGCAAGTATTTCAAGTAACAGAACCTTATGCTTATAACACGAGCAAATAGTATGTTAAATTGAACACATGCAGTTGTTATTTGCTTAAGCTTTTGGCATACAGCATTTGGCTGATTATAACTATGACAGGGTTTGATGTTTTTGACATCAAAATTTTCATCAGGCAGCATATTACTAAGTCTTGATACTTATATTTCTTATGTGAGAAAATATCTAGAAAGTTTCATAAAAGCTAACAATTCCTCATTCGGTTGCAGGTATGAGCTTCCAGATTCACATCCTCTTTTGAGTGGGGTAATTTCTTATACATCTTAATATGTCAGTTGTTTTTATGCAACTACATGGATTAATGTCTACTACTTTACAGTTTGAGGAACGGGAGCCTGATGACCCCTGCCCTTACCTTCTTGCCATCTGCCGAACAGGTAAAGAAGTATTGGTGGATGCTTACTATGAATGTCATCTCCTAATAATGCATCTCTCCTGNGTCAATTTTTTTATGCAACTACATGCATTAATGTCTACTACTTTACAGTTTGAGGAACGGGAGCCTGATGACCCCTGCCCTTACCTTCTTGCCATCTGCCGAACAGGTAAAGAAGTATTGGTGGATGCTTACTATGAATGTCATCTCCTAATAATGCATCTCTCCTGACGTAGTTCAAACTAACTATTTTTTTTAACTATAAGAGGAACTAGAAAGACGTGATGCAGAGATATGTTCAGGCAGTCCAAGTTCCTCCCAATATGATCAGATAGTTTATGGAACTATTTTGGTAAGTTCATCATGAACATTACTTCAGATTGTTTCCTAAGAGATTCTTCATTTGGATATGAGACATACTACCATGATTATACAGATACCATGTCGGACGGCGAACAGGGGAAGTTTTCCACTTAATGGAACGTACTTTCAAGTTAATGAGGTACTCATATTGTGATATTGTTTCCCCATGAACTCCTCTTTGTTGCTGCATAGTCACTACTTCATTGTGTTACAGTCAGCCTCACAAATATTTTTCTTGTACACCAGGTTTTTGCTGATCATGAGTCAAGCAAAAACCCAATTCCTGTTCCGAGGACGTCAATATGGCATTTGAGACGAAGAACTTTATTGTGTGGAACTTCAGTTACGACCATTTTTAAAGGTAGAAAATATTCTGTTGCTTGTAATATTTCACTTTGATCTGGTCATGTTTTATCAAGACTTGGCTTCATAAAAGCTGATATTACTCATAATTCAAACCAGGCATGTCAACAGAAGACATTCAATATTGCTTTTGGAGAGGTATGGCACATCTCTTCTGTATATACAAAATTGGAAAAAGTGTGGCTATTTTGTGAGGTTCTACACCTTCATATCTCTTCTGAACTTGATATATTAAATAGAATTACTAAGAATTGTCAGAAGTCTAGTGAAAATTGAAAGGAAATCTTGGCTAAAATGGATTTCACAATATATAAGTTTCTATTATTGTGGAAATCTTGGAAATACATAATGAAATGACTAGGATATCTTGCCTACGAACTAGGTGATAGAGAAATGTTGGAAAAAATACAGTATCATGTCTTTAGTATACAACGTCGGGCCAAATATTATACTCCAATGACAGTGAAAAGGCATTTCCACAAGCATATTAGCCCTGTTCATCTTTTATGTTTGATTTGATGATGGTAAGTTTCGTAACAAGGCAAGTAATATCATGACCGTAATTCACAATCACCTTATGTTTAGATGAATAAAAATTACAAGAAACAGTACTTTCTTGCTGAAGGAAAAAATTGTCTTATGTTTCCGATCTTGTATCTTTTTGCAGGATATATGACTGTGAGAGGATATGACAGAGAGCAGAGGGCACCCAGACCCCTCCATGATCGGTTCCATTCAGGATCAAAAAGTAAAAGATAGTCAATTCTGATGATTTGCATTTAGAGGTGGCAAAATTATTTGATAGGTGATAAAAGCGTAAAACTGTACCCATTTATCATTCGTTTAACATAATTTTCTTGTGAGAATCATGATCGTCCTTTGATGGAAAAGGTCATCCTAGTCGCTCATATAGTTGCTAGAATTGTTTCATTCTTTTGCTATTTCTATTACTTGACAGGATTTTCTTGTTGTAGTTATTCCAATCATTGCTTTGATCATTTGGTTAGTCTATTTTCCTGATTGAGAGCTATCCTGCCAAGTTACAAGGACATAACTTATGCTAGATCCTGGGAGACCTTTATTCTCTGTGAAACAAAGGAAGATATCTATTCTCATTTGGGATGCACTCAAATGGTATATGACTTGAAAAATATCAAGGAAAAAGATGGTGTATGACTTGAGTGCCTTTATTTAGGAGGAGTCGAACATACGTCAGTCAGCTCATTGTCATACAAAGTGTTTGATGTATTCTGGACACTATAAATTTATGGTTGTTTATTCTTCTTTGTATGGTACTTGCTCTTTCCCTCTTTATTTATTTTTTCCGTGGGAACAACCTCTTGCAGAAATGCTGGGTAAGGCTGCGTACAATAGACCCTTGTGGTCCGGTCCTTCCCCGGACCCGCGCATAGCAGGAGTTTAGTTCACCGGGCTGCCCTTTTTTTTTGATAGTCTTATGTTAGCTAAATTCATCCTTAAATTGCTTCATATAGTAGAGTCGTATGTTGATTGTTTGTTTAAGCAGGTCATAGGTGCCTAAAATTGAGGGATTGTAGCTGCGTGCAGTTATGTCAAAGCTGATTGTTGATATATTGTATTTCTATTCTCTCTGACACAGAATAACTTTGGTTTGACGGTAAGTTGTTGGTTAACTATGCATGCTCCCTGCCATGGTTCATAACGCCTTTAACAGGTAAGCATATAACTTTTATATCACTCCTTATCATCTAAGTACAATTTAATTTCTTCTATAATAGATTTCGTAGAGTATGATTAACATTATCGATCCTGAACGTTGAACTGCTATACCATTATCCTGTGAAGTATACATGGATGTTTTCCATAAGTATCGGAAGTTCAGAGAATTCTTTCTGCTCCCACCATTGTCACCCACTGATTTCTGTATGGTTAGCATACTTCTGATTGTTTTGTAATGTAGAGGGCCTCAGAAAACAACTGGAATTTCTTTAGTTCAATTTAACTTGTACTCTGAACACTTGAAGGATGTTATGCTCTTCAACTTGGCAACCGCTGAGAGGATTTCATTTAGAATGCATTTCCATCCATACCATTAGGTTTGCACATAATGTTTGGGTCTTGTAAGAAATGAGACTTAGTTAAAACTTGAGAGGATGATTCAGTGAAGCACCATATCTATTGATGTTGAACTCCAACAGAAATGCTGTCTAAGAATTTCAAGTTCTAACTTCTATGCTTGGAGCCCAGTTGTTCTACAGCAATTTTTTTTAATATAGGTCTTATAGCTGTTATAATCCATGTATGAATTAGTTTACGTAATTTATGTATGAAGCGATCGGCTATTTGTGTAAAGATCCCTCTAAAATGGGTGGCCCAATGTAAAGCCGCGAAGGTTAGGTCCATTGCCTGCCATGGTATTTAGTTATACAAGGATTGTAATACCTGGATTATTATACAGTAAATAATAATACTACCGTGAAAATGTTTGTCATAGTATATTGATAAAGGGGTAGTACCTGAAGGAGTTAATGAGATTGTTAAGTTGGAGGGTATCACCCAGAGATGGTAAGTACCCTCCATTCTCATGTTTAAGCCTTCGAAATGGAGTCGCTTTTAGTAGAACACGCTTCACCCCTAAAGTGAGACTTTCATGCATGATTTAGTATTAATCGAACTCTAAGGGGTTGTTTGGTTGGAAAGATGTTCTCCCGGAGTTAATTATTCCGGGATTAGTTATTTCAACTTTTTACGGGGATAAAAAAATACTATAATTTGGGATAATTAATCTCGAGATTAATTATTCCGCAATTTTCTCTCAATCAAATATGGGATAAACTCTTCTTAAATTTAGTTCGGGATTAATTATTCATCTCTCCTACCAAACGAGCCCTAAATCGGAAAACAAAACAAAAAAGTATTGAAGGGTAGAGATTGGAAGTGTAGGAATACAGTGCATTTGGGCAGAAGCATACAAGAATGGTGTGCATTTGTAAGGCGTTTCTCTCCCTAATGTTCTCACCTGACGAACTGCTGGTCTGTGCTCGGCCTTCAGCACTGCCAAAGCTGAGAAACGAAATGAAATGAAAGGAAACGAAAGGGGAGGAACGAAAATCGAGGCACCTCTATAATGAACCACAATCCATAGTCTACTCTCTCCCTGCTCTGCGTACGTCTCAGACTCTTTGATAATCCGATAAAAATATTAGATTCTCATATACTCCTCCCCACTACTGTATTTGTTATGAATATCCAAACCCCATTATACTAGCCATCGGTACACTGAAGAATTTGGAAGCAGTGAGAAAAAAGTCTTTATACGGTAAACAGAACTAAAAGTTGTAATTTTTCAACTGTACTTTACACGAAAACAGAAAATAGAAAAAGCCTTTAAAGGTATATTTTCTAAAATTGCAAGAATTTAGTGGATTGTAAAGCATTTAATTTTTTCAAGTTATTTGGTGGGGGGTGGCGAGAGGGGAAGGGTTGGACCAAACCTGCCCCTCTGCATTTTCACCTGACTGTCATGACTTATTACTGTATATGATTTGAAAAAATGGCACTATACAATTTTATCGTCATATGCCAAAGTCAGCCATTACCTTACTACTCCTATTATGTATTCAATTGTTTATACCGGAAACTTTATTCAATCAGTTTAACCATCTATACATAAACAAAAAGAGGGGCGGTGATAATAATAATTAATAGGGTTAAATAATACGTACTTAATAATAATAATTATTATTATTAAGTTTTTGAACTAATTTTTCATTTTCTCTCAAATTAATTTTGTGGAGTGTCCAACTTTTGTATGTATGCTCATATGAATGTGAATACAAAAAAAATTGTTGTTCTCATCTTATATTTTCCACTAGTCCACTTGACTAGCGAAAATAAGACATTTAATTGGCACCGGTTGAATACAACATAAATCCATCCTACATATATATGTACGTACACGCGAGTCTCCTTCACTGAATCTTCGAAGTATGAGCTCAAACTCCATAGAAGCAACACAAAAAACGCTCACGGAGTTCTAGAGAGAGAGAGAAACATATATTTTCAGAGTATAACATTTGAGTTTTTCTATCTCGTTTTGCTCCGTAAAATGAGTACTTGGTTGGGTTTCTCTCTCACTCCCGACTTCAACATTGGCGACGATGACGAAGAAGAAGAAGTAATAAAAGATTATCAAAGTCGCAACGAAAATCAAGCTACTGGAAATGACGCTAACTCAGTAGAAGAAACTCATTTGTCGGTTATGCCTTCATACCCTTTCCCTCGCTGTGACACAACCACTGAAGGTCTAAATTTTTCACACATTGTTTTACTTATTAATTTGTTCATTTTTACGAAATTGATATGTAATATTTTTCTCCTTATTTGAATAGATTGTTGGAGGTATGAGAATCATGAGATGACTAGTGCTACTAATCCGGGCGAAGAAGGCCCAAAGCTTGAAGATTTCTTAGGATGTTGTTGCTCAAATTCTCCTCCTGATAATGAACAACAAATTGCTGATATCAACGTTAACATTCCACCAACAATAAACCCCTCTGATCACGAACAACAATTTCAGGTAATGATACCAAACGGCCAATTTCAGAGCTCTAATGAGTTTGCAAACTCTACTACTGGTAGTGTCTATCATTTGCCATTTGATGGAGCTACTTCAGTTTCTGGATTTAAATCTTGGTTACGCCAATCTGTTGCTGCTGCACCATTAATTTCATCTGCTGAAGAAAATAGTACTAACAATTGCCAAACGCTGTCGCTTGCTGCGGCTCCGAAAAAGCGGCCAGTTGCTGTTAAGAATGTTACCGGTTCAAGGGAACCGGTTCCGAGAAAATCCATTGATACTTTTGGCCAAAGAACCTCTCAGTATCGCGGTGTCACAAGGTAAAAAAACAATTACCTTAAACTCTTTGTTTAAACTTATGTTAACGGTATAACTGCTTAATAATTTCGAATATCATTGATTTGTGAAATTAATGGACCAAATTAGACATCGGTGGACTGGAAGATACGAGGCTCATTTGTGGGATAACAGCTGCAGAAAAGAAGGGCAAACTAGGAAAGGCAGACAAGGTGTGTATTATTACTGCTTCATGTACTGAAATTTAATTAATTTCTCTCTTGAAAATGTTACTCCTCAGCGAATATACTGACCTTTTTTTCTTGTTTAATTTGTTGTTTTACCTTTGCTTCCTCCAACATTTGGATCAATCAGTCTATCTAGGTATTCGATATTCTCTTATCCCTTTTTTCTTTTCGAATCTCTGACAATAGTTTCTATTATTGTTTTTTTTTATTAAAATATTTTTTGACATTTCAAAAGGAAAACTGTGTATGTGTAGTGTGTTTAAACGGTTTGGATGGAGGTATTAGTGATTAAATTAATTGTTCAACTTAAATAAACTTCAGGTGGTTATGATACAGAGGAAAAGGCAGCTAGAGCATACGATTTAGCTGCTTTAAAATACTGGGGTCCCACCACGCATATTAATTTTCCCGTAAGTACCTTTCCTTTTATAATCTTCAGATAATCAAGTTTTAAACTTGACTAGTTCTAACTTTTCTGCTCTCACCATTAAATCATTACATGTATATTTGTTGTAATTTTAGTTATTTTTCACATGTCTCTATACTTCGTTTTTGTTGAAAAAATATTGGATTCAGTTGATCCCTTAGCTTACGCAACATCCTCCATAATGGCTTATGTAGGAATTTTTGTAAGCAGTGTCAATATTTGTAAAAGTGAACAAATAAATAAATTACTGTAACAGTAAGCAGTGTCATTTTTTATGTATATACCCAATATTTTAATTTTATTTTGTTATTTATGCATACAGTTTAAAAAAAAAAGTTTGACGAAGCGATGTCTTGTGACACCGCTTCAAGCAAGGTGCCTACACCCTGATCCTCCCTGCTAATTTTTAATGATAAGAATATTAAACAGTGAAATTTTCTGTATCAGCTAAACACTTATGAAAAGGAGCTGGAGGAGATGAAACACATGAATAGGCAAGAATTTGTTGCACACTTGAGAAGGTAATGTTCCTTCCATTTTTTTCACTAGTCTTATTTTTCTTTTCCTTTTTGATGGTGTGTTACACTGAAAAAGATGAAACATACTTGTAACTCAATTGCTAAATTTGACCTTCCCATTTTTATGTTAAAAAGGAAAAGCAGTGGGTTTTCAAGAGGGGCATCAATGTACAGAGGAGTAACGAGGTTCGTAGCATAGCATTAAATCAAAAGGCAACCTTTTTTTTTAACGATTAAAGTGTTTTCACATTCACTAT